TAGAATAGAATAGAATAGAATAGAATAGAATTCAATTTTTCATTGGCCAAGTGTGATTGGACACACAAGGAATTCATCTTTGGTGCAGAACTCTCAGTGTACAAAAAGAAAAAATAAAATTCATTCATCCAGTATCATAAGATACAACACTTAGTCAGAGGTTACTAATAAGCATCAAATCATACTAGGAAACAAAACAATATAAATTGTAAAGATACAAGCAACATGGTTATAGTCATAAGTGGGAAGAGATAGGTACTAGGAAGGATGAGAAGAAGAATGGCAATACAGTCTTATAATAATTAAAATCATTTGATAGTGTTGAGGGAATTAGTTGTTTAGCAGAGGGATGGCATTTGGGGAAAGACTGTCTAATTCACCCCGAAATTAGTGCCTAGTTGTTCTGGTGTGCAGGGCTCTATAGCGTTGTTTTGAGGGAAAGAGTTGAAACAGTTTATGTCCGGGATGTGAGGGGTCTGTAAATATTTTCACAGCCCTCTTTTTGACTCGTGCAGGATACAGGTCCTCCATGGAAGGCAGGTTGGTAGCAAGTAGAAAGTAGGCTGAGGCTACTAGCTTACTTTCTACAGCTACCAGTCCAACATCTCTGTTGCTAAGTGAAACATCGGTTTAAATGAATTTTTCCCCGTTTTGTCACCTTTGTCACTTTCTTGTTAAGTGAATCACTGCAGTGGTTAATTTAGCAATCCGGTGATGAAGTGAATCTGGTTTCCTTTTGGATTTTGCTGGGTGTGAAGGTCACAAAAGAAGATCCCATGGATTCTGGCATGCTGCAAACCGTCATAAATGGGGACCAGTTGTCAAGCATCTGAATTTTGATCCTGCGACTGACGAGGATGTTGTAATGGCTGTAGGTGTGAAAAACGGTCGTACATCCCTTTTTTTCAGCCCCATCATAACTTCGGTCACTAAAGGAACAGTTGTAAGTTGAGGACTTGCCGCCCACTTGCTGAAGGCAAGGATTCCTGTAGAGAAAAAAAAAAAATCAGACAATGGCGCTGGTGAATTCCTGCTTGAGTGGTTTTTGCTCAAGCCTTTGGATATGTTTGTTGCTTGGATTGTCCCAATCTTGTCAACTAGGTTTGTTCTGATCAAGGCTTATGGAAACACTAACAAACACATGTTAGTCCCAAAACCCTTTTTTCCTTATTTCAATGGCTGTGAATTTTAGTCATTCACAGCTCGTAGAGTCTGAAATAGTTTGTAAATAGTCCTGTGGAAGTCTGCCCTTCGGGATAAGTCCGATAAGCACGCACCTTTATCTTCCTTGAAAGGCTTCCAACGACTAAATGTCCAATTAATTAAATGAGGTCAAACGGAACACAAATTCAACACCGAGCTTCAGGTTTTAAACCGACCAGTACGAAGTTGCTTCCTGCAAAGATTCCTGTCCTTTTGCTCCTCCTTTATGTCTTATGGGAGGGCCAATCACCTCCAAGCCTTACTCCCAAGTCGCCTCTTTTGTCTTAACTGTTCTTGGCTTCTGGGAACAGGTTCCCCTTGTTCCTCTGGCTCGCTGCTGCCACACCACTCCCCGATGGCCCTGGCCCCATCTCTGTATCAGACGAAGGACCCTTGTTCGAGTTCTCCCCAGACTCCCGGATGTTCTTCCCCACTGTCCAACTCTGCTGCCATCTGTGCAGGCTGCTGACGGACCACAACAAGGTTCTCAAAAAGCAACTTCACTGCAGCTGAAGGATGATTTTATTTCTCCACCCCCAACCCCCCCCTCGCAATCTGATCCTGGGAAACTTCCCATTTGTATCTTGTATCGGCATGTTTTTCCACCACCTTTCAAATAATGCTAATTTTGAACACAAAGACCCGTGGCTTGGTTTAAATTCTTGTGGGGGGCACTGTTTTAAGCCTTTAAGGTGGCGTCATTCTGTTATTTAGTTTGGGGGTGACCACATGGGGACTCCGATGGGCTCCAAGATGGTTGAAAAGGCCATTTAGAGTTGCCAGAAAT